CTGGAGATCTGGGAGGCTTCTTGCTGTCTGCTGACATTCAAATAATGGAGGTCTATGGTGCCCGAGGCAGAAAGGTCCATAAAAGTCCACAAAAAACGTTTCAATATTCCTCCATACTGCTCGTCCAATGTATTCCAAGTGTCCTGAGTGGGTAGCATCCAGAATGAAGATGAAAGTGCGCATTCAGCTCGGCAAAGAACTCATGCTCTTCCTCAACACTGAAGTCCTCAGACATTTTTCTTTCGTTGTTTCTTTCTTTGCACAGGTAAACAGCACATTTCTTCTTCTAGCTTGCATTATTGGCAGAGCAGACGCTGAATGCGCACTTTCATCTGGTTTGGTCTGCCGGCTTCCGTAGCGTTGTGATCGCGCAGGTGCGCGCTTTCAGGAAATCCTATACACTACTGTTGATGCTCTAAAAACATTCTAAATGACTTCGTTTCGAGTAAATTCTGGATGCTACCCACTCAGGACACTTGGAATACATTGGACGAGCAGTATGGAGGAATATTGACACGTTTTTTGTGGACTTTTATGGACCTTTCTGTCTCGGTCACCATAGACCTCCATTATTTGAATGTCAGCAGACAGCAAGAAGCCTCCCAGATCTCCAGATGCATTTGAGATATCAAAAAAGTACTCCAGAGTGTTGTTCAGCATGGGGGTGAGTAGAAAATGAAGGCTAATCATGTTTTGGGTGTACTATTCCTTTAACCCCTGATTGCTCCCCGGGCGCCTAACAATGGCATCCCACTGCTCTCCAAGGGGATGGGTTAAATGCAGAGGTAAATTTCTCCAATGTGAGATCAATAAAGTTAAATTATTATTATCAAATGGCCCAAACTTATTTAATTTCTGCCATGTACACCAGCCTTTAGAGGCAGCAAAAAAAAAAAAAAAAAAATTGAGACTAGCTTAAAGGTTTTACATTACAGCAGTCAACGACCCCAAACAGGTATCCAGATAAAACTCCTTTGTTACAATGACCTAGTCAAAATCTACATCTAAAGCTTGTGGTAAAAAAAACCCAAAAACAAATATATATATATTATATATATATATATATATTATCTCTCCATCCAGTCTGGCTGAGCTATAATTACTTTACAAAGAGAACTAAGCAGCTCTTCTTCATATTTATTTTTTCGAGACATACCCCGACAGACTGGGGGTAGGTGCTGCAATTAAGGATTTTTTTCTTAATAAAAATTTAATTGTTGAGTTTTTGTTTTTAGAAACAGAAAAGGAATAAATCGAAAATATCTTCTTTCCATTAAAGAATACTGTAAGTCCCACTAATTTTTGCAGATCTTATACAAAAAAAACTCAGATAAATACAATAAAATCTATGCTTCCAAAAAAATTGACCTAATTTATGTTATTTAGTGATTGCTAAAACAAAATTATTTTTGTGACCAGATGCAGTTATGCTGAATTATAGGCTTTATATTCCTAAAATTATAATACCTCCGGCAAACCTAACTGGATAAATGCTCTTTTTCCTATTTTTAAAACACATTGGTAACATTTTAATCAAATGATCCCCTCTTAACAACCGTTAATGATGCACTCTGCATTTAAAAAACAAATGACCTGGTCCATGCCAGGGAACCTTTCAAGGTGAAAGAAGAATTCAATTTCTAGAAATCAATATATTTCAATATGCAATGGGTCTTATGATAATGCATGCAATCAAAGATTTAGTCATGGCCATACAGACAAATCCCTATCTGACATCTGATAGTTATTTTTAAATCCCCTTTTAATTAATAATTTTTACTGCTTTGCTGTTTTCGATCACCTGCTACCTCTGCTCAATCAGAGCTGCTCTCATTAGTGGGAGGAAGGAGATTTCAGCCAAAAGCTCCACAGTCCCAAAGAGACAAATCTGCAGATAAACTGTTGATTGTATCAAGGCAGGAGATTTTAATCAGATAGATGTTTCTCTTTGAGTAAAGTGAGAACAAACAGATTGCTTAGGGCCTTATTAAATATTTACCTTTATTCATGTGATGTGAAAAAAAATTGCGTCAGGAAGCCAAAAGAAAATCCTAAGGTGTAATTTAAGGTTTGACTCTGGAAAAAAATAAAGTTTTACTAAGAAAACTTGGTAAAATTCAGTTAAAAGGAATTCAAATCAAAGATTTTGAAGGAACCAATCTTAGGCTGGTTTTATACAAAGTTTCGATATAATAGACTATCTCTGTGTGTAAAAAAGAAAGGCACCCCTCAGCTTATTCACTGCAACTCAGGTGAGCCGTATCATATTAGGTGTATTTTGCCACACACCATGATTTTGTCCTTGAGCAACCTGATGTCCCCCTGCTGAGCTCGAAAAGTTCACACAGTGAGAAAAAAAAATTCAACTTCTTGATGCCTGGAGGACATGCGAAAGCTTCTTTGAGCACCTGAAACTGAGCCAGGGCTGATCGATTCCAATGCTTTGAAAAGGAAAACAACATCTTATGTAGATGACCGAGGTTTGAATAGGAAGAAAGGATCCAATTTCTCCCCTGGACTATGCGGCTGTCAGAAGATAGGCTTTGACTGACAGCTCAGCGGTGCACGGATCCTGCAGCTACTTAAACGACAGCTAGAGAAGTAAACAGCATCAGGCTTATCAGAGCAAAGCAGCAGCTTGGAGGGCAACAGTTTGGCTGAACGGGAGAGACTTAAGGCATAGAAGTGTACAACCAGCCCACTAACTGTGCTGTGAGCCACAGCCTCTATATGACCTTGGATGTGTTTCCTTTCCCCAGTGACCTCAGGGACCTAATGGGTGTGTGCAACTGCAGAGAGATGAAGGCTGAATTTCAGATGGCGTGAGTGTCACTTTTCTTCTTGCCGCTGTTTGATTTTGCTTTGGAAATGGAATCATATTCAGAAGCACAAGCAGCCACTCATGTTGGTGCGATAACATCTCAGGAGGAACAGTTCAGACATATACTACTGACATCCTGCTTCAAATCAGAAAAATGTCATAAGACAGATTCAGCATCTAGGGAAACTGCGTGCAAGGCACAGATATTTCATCCGAGGCTTAAAATGTTTGCGTAAAATTAAATTTTTTTAGATTTTCTTTTAAAATTATAGTAAAACATTGTTTGATGTACTGAACTTAAAAAAAAAAAAAAAAACTTACAGAGCCTCACTGTTGCTACAGTTCTGCCAGCCCGAAATCCAGGATGTGAATTACCATTTCATATATTCATCCTAAATGTGCTCTACTGGAGTGAGATTTAATGGCTGTGGAGGCCATTTTTATTTTTTATATTCAATTGTTTTACCGTTTTGTAAAACATAATAATAATAATAATAATAATACATTTTATTTCAAGCGCCTTTCAAAACACTCAAGGTCACTGTACATATAAAAACAATAAATGGTAAAAAGCAGTCGTCATAATAGAGAATTATTGTACAGCATACAGTCCTCCATAACAGGAACAACGGCCAGAATCATATCATTGATACATGGCAATGTACATTGAACACAACTCAATATTCTACTGCATTTTGCACCATATTTATTTATTTTGGACTGCACTGAACTTTCCATATCAATGAACCATGACTTTAAACTGGTTTCCTTTTCTCCCACACTGTTTACTTTCTGATCACTGCTGCACTTTATGAAAATGTTCATTTCACTGTTCTGTGCAGCTCATTCACTGTAGAAAAGTTGTATGCATCAATTTTTTTTTTTTTGTATACACAATACAGGTTGTTTGAGTCTAAGGCAAATTGAATCCCTTTTGTCCTTCGTTATTTTCTCACCAAATTTTGATCTCACAATCTAAATATCATAGCTGAACCAAAACCGATGAAATCAAGCAACATTTCTTCCAATCTGTCATGGTCCTGATTTACAGAGCCTGATTATTGTTTCTGCCTGTTCTTAGCTCACAGAAGTGGCAACCAGTGAGTTGAGTTGAGTTGTTCTGCTGCTGCAGCTAATCTGCTTGAGCTTTTGACAGGATTTGCTTTCTCAGGTGGTACCCTTCAGGCGTTGATTGTGACTAGCGGATTTATTTGAGCTGCTGTTCACACCCATCATCTCCAGCCTATCTGCTCATTCTCATCTGACCTCTGAAATCAACAAGACTTTTCTTTTCCATAAAACCTCAAATCACCAGATATTTTTGGACCACCATGTGCAAACTTGAGAATAAGGCTGTGGATGGAAATCCCAGTAGATCACTGGCTTGTCCACAGACCAGTTTCACCGCAGCCAACAGCCATGCCATCTTAGCCACTTAAATCAAATTTTCTTAGCTTTTCCGATGCTCAATTTGAGCGCCAATAGTTCAAGTTATCTTTCTTGCTCTTACAAATCTGAGAACATTGAGTGATTGTTATTTGTTCGAACTTTTACAGCTGTTAAAAATCTGTACCTGTTAATAAGTGAACCTAATAAAGTGAAGTTTATTTTTCTCAAACAGATCCTTTTTTATTATATCTTGCTTTTCTAGCAGCTTAGTGAAAACCTTTGATTTTCCTGCTGCATCTACATTCTGAAGCACATCATACCCAATATCTGTCCATCTGACCAGAAACCAGATATAGCCATCACTGCAGAGTTCACAGCACTTACATCTCTTACCAGTTGAGATGGAAAGAGATATTGTCACAGTTATGTCTACAAATAGAAAACAGACTAGTTATGAAGTGTGTTTCCTTCTACTGAGTGTTGCTTAGGGCAGTAATGCAATATGTCTACAGCTTCCAATGTGTTTGTGACACATCACATCCTCCCCTGTGGTGTCTGCAAGATGACAAAAGACTGCATGCTGGGTGGGGACATGTGCATCTGTAAGCGAGAATATGTACATTGTGTGTCACTTTATGCGCTCCATAAGAGAGGAGCTTGTTTGGCAAAAAAAAAGACACGGAGACAGTTTCAAGGGGAAGATGGATGAGATATGCATGGCGAAGGGTTGAAAGATTAAAAGAGAACAGCCTGAGAGGCAGACGGCGCCTCCTCTGTGAGAGTCCCTAACCTGCTGTCCTCCTGGTTGATGCTCATGTACATTTCCCAGGTAGTGTCTTCTGCGATCCCCCCGTGAGGCACCAACAGACTGATACCTGCAGAGAAAGAGGCACGCGAGAGCTGATCAGCAAGCAGGCAATGGTGCACAAGCATGGCACACACCTGCTCAGCTGTCAGGTCTCTTTACTGAGGGTGACAGCTAGAGGGGTGATGGGCCCAGAAAGAGGTGACAGAAACAAGTCTCAAAGGTCTTGTGAAACCAATGCTGCCAGCACTGTCTTTGTCACAAACAGACACACTTACACGCTGCCGCTTTCTTAAACACAATCTCATAAAAACATTAACAACATCGGATGGTATCATAAACAATTACTACCAATCTGTTGGTAGATGAGGCTCCTCAAGGGATAGAATGATAAATGGGTCATGAGAAGTGCTTCAATTATGAAGCGAACGGAACAGCAGAGGTTCACGCATCTCTTCATAGTGTTAAAGTGTTAACTATATGCTTTCAAACACTAAAGCTGAGAGCCAACATTGTGTAAGCTAATGTTCATGCTACATTAGGGTACAATGTGTAGAAGAACATCTCAGTGTATTTTATTTTGATTTTATTGTAAAAAATATTTTAGAGTGGAAAGAAAAAGATACCTCTTCTTCACTGTTAAACATGGTGGTGGAAGAATTATGCTGTGGGATGCTTTTTTTCAGCTCATAGAGGATGGCTGGTTAGAGTTGATGGGATGATTCATAGAGTTAAACACAGGGAAAATACCGAAACAAAACCTGTTCATTGGTTTGAAGAATTAAGACTGATGCCCATTTTACAGATACAAAATCTGAGAACATTCACCCAAAGCTGCAGTGAAGTGGTTTAGATCAAAGAATATTCAAGTATCACAATAGACATTGTTTTCCTACTACGGTGGCCGGGAGGTGCAAACCAGCACTACAAAGTCTAAAAAACCTTTACAAGTTCCAAAAGAAATGATCATTTCAGAAAACATATTTAGATAAAAAAAAAATAAACTTTTACAAGTTCGAATGTTTTTTATTTGTTTTCTTAAAATGCTATTTGTTTTGAATTTTTAAAAGTGTTTTCTTTTTTGTTTCTTTTTTTAAATGTAAATTTCTTTTCTGAAATGATAATTTGTATTGGAACTTGTAAAAGTTTTTTTGACTTTGTAATGTTGGTTTGCACCTCCTGGCCACCGCATCCTACAGACCTAAATCTATTTAAGAATCTCGACCACAATTTTAAATATTTGTTCAGCGATGCTCTAGCTCCAATTAGACACACAGGATAAAGAATATGAGATGTTTAAAGCTTATATAGCCATACCACCAAATAATTAGAAAAATGTTTGTTTTTTCTAAAAGCAGGCATCGTCTGTCTGAAACGTTGTCTGTCGACCCAAATCGCCATTTTTTTGGACAAGTAACCGAGCCCCATGGTTTTTAGAAAAAAAATCAGCTTCTTTTCCTTTCACTTTACTAACAGCCACTGCTTTGTCTTTGTCAATTATTTAAATCAAAGTAACATTCACTGAGGTATGATTTCTTATTAATAAAGGTTTGAAAATGATCTTAAATTTTATTTCATGTTATTTACAGTAACTCTCAGTATAAAACCCAACTTTAATCCCCCCCTCTGTGATCGTATCAAATCAAATTGCCTCACAGTTGGCTCACCTGTGTTGGGTACCACCAGCCTGCCTCCAGCATGGCCAAACACTGCCGTTGCTTTATGCAGAGGCCTGCTGAGCGTCTGAAAGACCCGTGGAGTGAAAAGGTTTTTGCTTCTCCTGCCCAGTGTTGTCCCCACTGCAACCCCTCTGTAGTCTGGGGCCAAGCCCCGTGGAAATGTCTGAGGGTGGGACATAACGTGGTACTCTGCCCTTTCTGTCGTCCCTGGGGAAAACAATGAAAGCTTAGAAATTTGGTTTCCATAAAACTTATGAACTGTGAAGGCTTTTTGATACAGCTGTTCAACTCTGAAACAAAACAAGCAGCACTGGGAGAGCAGCTTTGTTTACATGTATGATATGCTTATAGTAAAACAATTGACCCTCTGACTGTTCATTAAAGCTAATCCTATAACCGCAAATGAAAGTGCAGAAAGCCTGTCTCTGCCAAGGATTTTGCCTCCAGCTGAAACAATAAGCCCAAGGCTAAAGGAAGAACACTTTGCATCTAAAGAAGTAGGAATGTTACCTCTTATACTGTAGATCCCATGCAAAAGGTGGTAACAGTTATTCAACCAACTGACTTTGTAGTATATTTTCCGCCTTTTTTTTTTTTTTTACACACAAGGTTGGAGATCAAATGAGAGATTTCATATATGATTTCACTTATTACATGACAAAATCATTTTAAACTAATTTGGCTCTATGGTTTCTAACTGTGACAGGATTTGATCTTTTTTTTAAATGCATCCAATTTCATACATGCTTTCATGTTTTTTGTGCTGACATAAGGTGCAAGGTAAGAACAAGGCTGTGGCAGCTGCTCAAGTTTCTCATCCATTGTTGTTGCAGGTGCCACAAAAACCACAGGAATACAAGGCAGTTGAAGAATATAGGCCGTTTGTGGTTTTCTGATATACGATGGTGCTAAAGTACAATCAGCTCATCAAGCATCCATGTCTGGTTTGTTTTTACTCTCATTTTAAATTTTTCTCTCGAGTATGGCTTGAGTGTTTCTTTGCAGTCATCAATGAGGTTGACATCAAAGTTTAGACATCAATAACTCTAGTCAATGCAAAAATGTTATTATTTCATCTTTTTGTTAGTCTCAACAAAAGCTATGACAGTCGTCTTCCTAAGAGCTTTGTGTGGAGTAAGTCACTTCCCTGCAGGGTAACCAGCACTACCTCTGTATGCCTGTCTGATTCTTAGCTGGCTTTGTCTGCTCTGCTGTATCCTAAGAAACATGCAGACATAACATCTGCCTTCCAGCTAATTAGGGGATGTTTATATGTTTTCAGTGCTTTAAAAGAAAATGAAATCCTTTATTATACTGTAAGTAATTTTGTTGGATTTTTCTGTCCACAATGCTTTCCTAATTTTCAGTTACTACAATTATTACATTTAATTTGAAACACATTTATTTGTGTAAATAAGGTTAATGTCCATGTCAGTTTTTAACAAATAAAATTTTAACATATGAAACAATGACATTTGAAGTTCTTGCTAAAGTCATTCAATAATACTTAAGCTTTTTATCCTTCAAAGACTTCGATTTATTTTTGGTCATGCTCATATTTTCAATTCTTAATGTGTATATTAGGGTTGTCAAAAGTATCAATACTGAAACGTTGTATCCGGATACAATACTTGTTTTTAAAAGTATCGATACAACGCCACCACCAGTGGCACCTAAGCAGTCATTTATCTAAAGTGCAGAATAGAGGAAAATGCACTTTCAGAACACTGTGTGATTAAATTATTTTGTGCACTTTTCAGTTTCAGACCTTTTTTTTCTAACAGGTGCAGCTGCTGAGAATTATTTTTGTTTCTTAACCGGTTTGGCTAGTGTCATTGTTATGTGTGCAAAGCAAAGCCAAGGAAGGAACACTTAATTTTATAAGTTTTTTAGCAAGCTTGCTTAATATTGTGTAGAGCATACAACCTCAAAACATTGTTCTTATTGTTTGTTGTATTTGTTTATTGTATTTTATTTCTTAATGAAAATATTTTTGTTGAATTTTGGAGTCTTTGTTTTTATCCTTGTGGTATCGAAAATGGTATCGAGTATCG